GGTCGAGTATACCGGTAACATGTAGTGTTGTTTGCACTGTGGCATCTCTTTTTTTTTGCATCAGTCTGCAAGGAGAACCAAATTCTTATTGTCTGATGCTAAAACTTAATGTGCTTTGCAGCATGATGATGTAAAGGTTTAAACTAATGCAAAGAAATATAATTTTTTACTCCTACGCACTTTTACTTCTGTTTTTCAGGGTGTGTTCTTGTCCTTCTGGTGAGCAATATCTATCCTACTTAACATGAAACTACATGGAAAGCAAATAAGAGAAGCAAGCCTGTGATTCATTTGAATTTAAGCACTAAAACAGGAAGCTTTCTGAATTAAAATGCTGAGTTGAATTCCGCATTTCCACATTTCTTTACCTAGTATAAAGTGCATTAGTTGTTGCGTTCAGAGGAATTCTTCATTTTCCATTTCAGCCAGGAGAATCAAAGGTACTACAGTAGCAACCCATAGCAAACCAGTTTAAAAATAATTTCACAAGGGAGGAGTGTATGCATATATTTGACGGGGAGGTGTGAAGGGTCATGTTCTCTTAGTGATGCACTGAGATCTGTGGGTAGCTCCTGTTCCAGACAAGGAGAGTTACTTATGGGCGGGCTTTGTAACTTTTGTTGAGTACTCTGGCCCTTATCCAGCAAAGCAAAGGACTTTTAAGTCCTTGCTTAATATTTGTGATCCCAGTGACTTGAAACTAGTGGAATTTTGATTGCTGAAAGCTAGAATTTTCAGGACATCTCAGAATTATGCCCTGTATTCTCAGCATAATAAGGGTACAGATATGGTTTGGGTTTTTGTTTGTTTGTCTTTCTGATGGTATCAGTCATGGGTACATTCTTCTCTCACCAGTGCCTGCTTTTTGAAGTCTAAATACAAATCTTGAATAGTACTGATATATATATATTTTTTTTTTTTGATCATTTCTTTCATGGATAAAAACCTCAGTTGAAAGATTTAAAATTATGAATGAAATCCAGCCTTTCAATCTCTACTTCCTTCATTTAACTTTAGTTGGTATTAATCAAAGAGATGTTTTTCCTTTCAAGGTTTAAGGGAACTAGCGCATATAAAAATTTACAGACAGTTCACCTGTAAGATCATTACATCTTTATTCACGTAAGCAAACAAATACTGTGCTGTTTACTATTATTGGCTAAGAAAATTTTGAAGTATCTTTATTGTCTTCTGCAGTTTAAAATCCTGTACTATTTATGCTCAAAATCAATTCCCTGTCATAAGTATGGGGTAAGTCATAAGATATACCAGCTTTTGTATGTTGTTAGGTAGTTCAGGGAACATGAGTTTTCCTTAAGGATGTCTTTGACAATTTTCATTTGTTGCATCTCTTTTTGTTAGCATTGAATAGAAAAATACTTCCTTCTGGCTTCTTTTTTATTTCTTATTTCATGCAAACTTAAATGGAGGAAAACTTGAGGCAGGAAATGGAACTGTAAGAAGAAAACCTGAAAATTCTTAAATTGACTTGTCTCAGTCACTAGATGTCAAGCTGATGTTCCTTCCCAGTAAAAACACATTACCACCTTCCAAATGTCCCTACACAGGACAGGACTGTGATCAAGACTCACCTTAGGTTACAACTATGGAAACTTGGCACGTGTGCCTTACACATGGACCCAGTTCTTGAGAGTTCTGAGAAATTATGACGTTCCACTGGTGTGTAAAATGTGAGACTTTGAGGGTGCTTAGAATTCTGCCGGTCTGAACAGTCAGTTGAAGAGCTTGGGATAACTGAAGCATGCATATGGAGTATGCCCAGGAAATCACATAACATATAATTCCCGGCTGGCCCTACCTGTGCTCCAGCACTTGAGAATTTTTACCTTTATAGAACTGAGTTTCTGAAGGGTGACAGTTCTTTTGCTTGCCAAGATTAAAGAGTGTGCATATATGGTTTTTCCTAGTGTTTTGATAGGGGCAAATTAAATAAAAGCATGCCAAAATCTGTGAGTTTCACTGTCATTGAATTTTCCTACAGAATTTAAAATTATTTTGTGTAGAAAGTAGATGTTACCAGTAATGTCGTAGCCATGATAATCTAAGGATGGAGGCAAGATGTGATATGTAGTGAGGCATTTAGACTGGTGAGGGAAGATGTCACCAATACTATCTTCAGAAAATTTACAGTGGTATGTATGGTACAGCTGTATATTTGGCTGTATAAACTGCCTACTTAGTATAATTAACTGAACTCCTGAACAATTGTTTTAAATCTGTATTTAGCTTAAAGATTATGGCTTTTATTTCACACCTGAAGTATTGGTTGTGGGCCTGAAAGTTTGTGTGGTTTTGTTTGGATTGTGTGGATTTTTGTTTGTTTGTTTCTCTCTTGTCTGTGTATAAAAAGTATTCGTATAAATAACATGAAGAATTCTATAGCAGAATGCTCCATTGAGTTCTTCCCATTCCATATCTATTTTAAATTGTCAGTTCATTGAAGGGGTAGCTACCAAAGCTGATTATGAAATAACTTTGGATCCTGTCTGCTCTTCTGATGTGAAAAGTACTTACTAAGCAAAGAGACAGAAAAATGTAGCATGGAGTTTTGCAAAAAAAAGAGTGAGAAAACTAGTTTAAAAGTCCTAATGTCACAATAACCAAGGAAGCCACATCTTTAAAAGTGGCATCAATGCTACTTAAGAAGACAGTGCCAGATTTCAGTATGTGTGCATATCTCTCTTGGAAAGTAAGTAGTGAGCCACTCTGGCTGAATGAAAAGATTTAAGAGGTTATATGATCCAAATGGGTCTTACACAATTTGGAAATCTGGTATTTTTAGTTGCTAGAGTTTAATATTAATCTGCATTAGGAAGTACATAAACAGAAACAACTAAGCTGGCATAAGCTGAGAGTATAGAAATACATAAGAAAATATCTTCTAGTGGTTAGAATACTCAAATCCAGCAAAACAGTTGATCCTTTCCTCAAAAAGAAATAATTGAGGAAGACAAGTTTGATTTATGAGGTGAAGTTGTCTTGTGTAGCAGTCTCTGTAGCACCGGATATTGAAGAAACTTTATCTTGGACATGGTCTTGGCCAGAAATTAAGATGAGGTCTCACACTTGAGGTATCAAAATAAACTCATAAGCAGCGGACGTCAACAGGACCAAACAGGGAATATTCTGAGTTTGAAAAGAGGTTAAGACTATACAAAATACTCACTCCAGTAGTGAAAATAGGAGTGTTGCTTTAAAAAAAAAAAAACTAAACCCTACTACTGAGCCTTGCAAAACTAGAAATTTCTAGGGATGTTTTCGCATAGTTTACAACAGTCAAACAAAAAAGCACATCATACAGTAGAATTCAAACCACACAATATTTTGCAAAGATAATTGATCTGACAGAATTCTTTGTGTCATGAAAACAGTGGTTGAAGAAAACCTGGTTAATATTATTTAGAATTTTCCCAAAAGCTTTGAGTAAAGTTAAGCATTCACAAAATGAGAGACAAATTATTGTCTTGGATCAAAAACTGATTGAGATGGGACACAATATTAGGATTAAATGATCAGTTAGCATTTTGTTTAAAAACTAATCTAGGTGCAGAAGGCATTTCAGTGTACTAGGACCTAGAGTGCCAGTGTATTCCTGAGCTGTATTTAGGTATTAGTTATATATCAGGCCATAGGTAAAAAGAACCATTGGGTTCAAACATGGTTTGTAATGTCCAAATCATGGTAGATAAATAACCATAGCAGGCAAACTAACATTGATTGATGCAAAGTAGTGTGCATTCAAGAAGAAAATTTGAATTACTTATACATCTGGGTTTCCAATTAGATACATCTGCTTAGGAAAAAAAACTTAGCAAATAATTTTCAAAGGCGCAGTGAAGATTTCTGTTCCTTCCTAACTAAGATGTAAATGACATTAAACACAGGACTACAATGAAGAATAGTATGGAGATTATTATAATCCCCTTGTGTAGATCAATGATACAGTCTTCTAAGGAATACTGTATGCTATGTGGATCCAACATACACCTGTAAAGTATGTTACAAAATAAAAGGATTGAGAGGAGTACAGCATGAATGATCAACAGCCCAGAGCAAATCTCCCATGAAGTCAAATAAAGGGGGAAAATGCGATTGCTTATGCCAGAGAGAACAAGAATGAAGACATAACATGAGTACAATCTATTATGTACATGAGGCAATGAATTGTAAATAAAAGCTACAGAAAGTAGAGCAAATAGAAGTTTTCCATCTAACTAGTTCTTAAAGAAACGAAGGGAATTTAAGTGAAATCAAGGTCTGAAATTCAGGGCTGAGAAAAGACAGCTCTTTTTAGCGTGCATCTCATTGAAACACAGGGTATTAAGACACAAAGATTTGGTGATATTAGAATTTGTATTATTTATAATTCTTCCATCAAGTGACATATGCTTATTGCTGTGTTTGTTGTTCTTGAGAAAATAATATTGGTGCTAGAGGGCTGGCAGGAGGGAGGTGGTGTAATTTAGAGAGCTAGCAAAGTTTCATTAGCCATTTTTATTGCTAACTTTTTGGGTTTTGCTCTCTGTGGGGCCATTTTAAACCTGCTCAAGGTCACATATTTTTCTAGTTCTGGTAACACGATTTATTTTCATCTACGTTCCTTGTCAAAGGACTGCATCAGTCTTTCTTTGCTTAACACTGCTCTGTGTGGGGACTTCTGTGTAGTTGAGAAGTTAGTGACATCTCATGGTAACCATGGAAAATTACAGGTGATTTGTGGTAAGGTTTTGGCGTTTGTAATTTAATGGACGTTGCAAATGTTTTCTAGGTGAAAATTCTTTTTTAATATGCTTGTACATACTTCTCACATTTAATTCTCCAGTGTTTGTTATTTATCTAGAGACTAACTCAAGTATTTCTAAGCCTAAAATACTGATACTTGTCAGCATCTGAAGTCCAAATGTTGTAGTACCTATATATTTGTCACTTACAAAACAATTATATAACATGATTGTCTCTCCTGGTTTTACTTGGTTTAGGTACAAAGTCAGCTACAGAGTATGCTAATGGTGGTTATGATATTGTGTCACCTGCTCCATCAGTATACTTGGGCACATTTCAAATTTTGCATCTCCTGGAAGATCTAAAGATGGCACTGGAAATGCTAGAGGATCCTCAAGAGAAAGAAGCATTGCGAAATCAAATTCCGGGGGCCACAGCAGTGTGTATACGGGAGTGGTTTGAAGAGAATCTGGTGAGTAGTTATTTGTAGCTTTTCCATTTTGTTTGCAAACAGCATTGATTCAAGTATTTGATACTTCAATTATTTTTATAATAGCTGAAATCTGCATGCTTAGAGAACTGCAGGGGATGGTGAGCAATCATAGCAAGCTGAGGATATTACCACGTTATGTGCTGATTACTAAAAGCAATGCAGTTATAGGAGTATAAGAAGTTGGTAAAAAACCTGATTTTGTCCTTGGTGAGAGAGAAGATAGTAAAAATGAACGACCAAAAAGGTTACCTTTTCTGTGAGTTTTTTTGGTTTGATTTTGTTGGTCCTTTGCTGGAGATAACAAACAAGTTTATAACTAGTTATAAAACTTGTCATTTTTAAACAACCAATTTGGAATATGGTGGCATTGTCTGTTGAAGGGACAAATTCAAACTGGATGATTCTCCTATCATTTTCCTTGCTACACTTCATTTACCTTAACTATCAGTATTATCAATCTCCAAAGTATCTTGTACACCAGGTAGTGGTGGTAAACACAGGAAAGCTCTAGCTTCTGAATGTGAGACATTCATATTGGGATAGATGGGGAATAAACATTTGACTATATTGGAAAAGACTGAGGCTTACCAGGCGAGGAGCAGATCTTCAGACAGACCTTAAAAGAAGAGACCCATTGGATGTAAAGGAAGAGAAACAGCAGGTCCTGCCAGAACACTTCTCTTCACCAAGCCTGTCACTGCAAGTGAATGGTGGTTTCCTAATGAGTAAAAGCTACCTATCACTTTCTCAACTTCAGAAAAGTTTTCTAGATGAAAGGATTTTCTTCTGGCTTTGTCAATGCATGTTACTTCTGTGTAATTGTGTCTGTAGCTTCTGGTTCAGTGTTTATAATCTGCTATAGCTGCCTTATGCCTGTTGTAACCTAGCGTTGTTGGAAAGGTAGCTGCTTTTGTTTGAACTTGTCAACTGCTGGTTTGTTGGCATTCTCCACAGAGTGCATGTCTATGGCTGGAAAGTCCTGTTTGGGACTATATGAGAGAAAGAAATGAGAATTTGGTACCAGTTTTGAAAGCAAAAGGTGGAGGTAATCTTTAATTTGAATTTACAATATTAGATTTTGAGTCCATATCCTCAGGCCAGCTCTTACTGAATTCCTGCTTTAACAGAAATTTTAATGCTTTTTCAAAGCTTTTCAATAGCTAAAAGATATTTTTAATGTGTAAAAGACATAAATTTTCAGAGTTGTTCACAGTAAAGTTGGCCCTGGACCACCAAGTTGAAGAGTTTGAATCTGGTGGTCTGGCTTTTGGCCCTTCTATTGCAGAAATATTAATTAATCTAGCTTTTCAGCTCTGCAAGGTAGGTAACACTTGATGTTTTGACTCCTCATATTAATCTGCATATGCGGATCTCTTCTTTTTCATGGGAAACCAGCCAAAACAGAAGCAACAGTTCCCTCTTAGAGTTGCAGTTTACTGATGTCTTAAAAGCCTTGTCTAGTGCATCAATAGTAGTATTTATTTGATAAAGCAATTGGGCAGTCTGGATTCAGAACCAACAGAACAGGGAAATTGGTGGTATAGAGTATCTCTAGTGCAGTATGTTGAGGTCACTGTTTTTAAAATATTTTGCACTATTCTGTATTGACAAATTCTGCCACTTCTTTTAAAGACATGCACAGGGAGGGTAGTGCACAGTTTCTGTGACTGTTATTTGAAAATGGATAGGAATCTATGTATTTGTAGACCTTTTTTATATTTTTTAAAAATGCAAATAATTTGTAAGCATGCACAAAGCTTCCATGGACTTCAAATTCGGAAAAGCTTTCTCCACTGACAAGCAGCAGTTTCACTTGGAAATTGAGAGGAAATCTGATAAAATTCAGCTCAGTTCAGTGAAATGGAATATGTATTTCATAGTTATGTCCCATACTGAAAATTCCTTAATTCCAGCCCAGAGCTGTGAAACTTGATACTTGATATGTAGAAAAAGATAGTCAAGGTAGTAAGCTATAGAGAATGAGAACTCTGTAGCTGAGTGAATCCATTCACACTGGAAGCCTCAAATGATTTGGTAATCATTAGTCTATGAAATGTTGGAGTGCCATAAAAAACCCCACTCAATTCCCATGGTTTAAACACATCAAGATTGAAGCGGTTTGCTGATTTATTAAAGACATAATTAACTAGAAGTCAGTGAACTATGTATTTAGGATCAACATCAGCAATACAACAGATAAACTGGAATACTAGATGCCTAAGAAATGTTGAGGAACACCTGCAAATTTCTAAATGCAGTTCTATGACTAATTCCAAGAAGTTAAAATCACACAGACGTGCACACATACACATTCACAGTTACAGACATACATTTCTTCTCTCACAGCTGGTGCTGGTTGCAAGCATGAACAGCGTCTTCTGTGGATATGGGTTCCCCTATTTACACACATCTCCTAATGGACATGTGGGTGCTTTAGCTTTTGTGTGTACCTGTGGAGCTCCCTACGGTCTGCTAACCCATGCACTGGTGAGCAAGCACCCCACGAGTTCACATAGGCACCCCTGAGGTGTGGGTCCCCGATTGTTGCAACTGGTAACTATCAGAGAAAACATCAGCACATAGAAAATGCCAGACGCTCTCAAGTGGAATTTGCTACAAAGTGTCTCTTCTAAGCATTCTCTTTAAAGTTTAGGCTAATAATTCAGTACAGAGATATGGAATGTATTTTAATTGTTGTATTCAACTGAAATGTAACATAAAACAATGTTTGATATCAGTAGCAATAGTTGAATTGTAACAAACTTTGGAGTGGATGTTGAACTGATGCTTTTGAGCTTTTTTTTTTTTTTTTAGAGCTATTATAGGTCGGCTTGGAGGGGGATTTTCTTTCATGGACAATTAATTCCACATTTTAGGGTCCATGCACCTTCATTTGAAGCTGGAGGCTGCTCTGGCGTATACTGAATAAGCCACTGGTTTTAGAGAATACAGCAACTGCTTTGTTCCTAACATTATACAGGAATAGGTGAGGTCAAAAATATTCCCAGCTTATCCTGACTAGGAATACATTAGAAACTGAAGGTACAAAAAGCAATGTGACGTTTCTTTTCTTGAAAGGATCATGTTTATCTGCTTTAAAAAGAGTGTAATTTTATGATTCTTCTTCACTTAAATGTGTGCTTGAAAACTGTATTAAAGATCATTGCAGCTGCCATCCTTAATCAAGAATACAAACAATGTGCCTTATGGAAGTAATCTGAATTTGTGTTTTGCTGCTGCCCTATATTGGCTTTTATGGAAAACCACAGAAAGGGGAGTCAGAAAGATGGCTCAAGACTAGTTCCTGCTAGATAGTATCAAACAACAGTATTTAAGAGCTAGCATTTTGGTTTAAGTAGAAGTATGGAACAGAAGTCCCAATTATTTTTTTGTGTGCTCCTTCTGCATTAGCAATCATCATAACCTAATGCAGCCCTGAAAGCTCTCTGAGACAGAGTATGGCTATCCCCGCTATTTCTATCTGTGCCACACACCAGTATTTGGGACTGCAGGTTAGAGGACAGAAAGTGACTGAACCTTCTTTGTATTGTTCATTTGTATTGGAGTATCATCTAGAAACTAGAGGTCAATTGTACTAGGATGGGAAAAAGAACTTCTGCAGAAAATTGCCCCTTGGCCTTATAATTCAAGTAGCTTTGCAGTTTTGGTAATTGCCACTTAGGGTGTTGTACTACACCTGGTGTTTAAATAAATAAGACTGCGGAGTTTGGCCTTTTGGTCAGCTTTGAGGCACATTGGCTTGTTACTGATCGGTCAGGAAGCTTCTGTGATGTTTATAGATACTATAGCTGGTCTCACTAGAGTGTTACTTTCCTTCAGTTCCATAGTACCAAGCTATGGAATTTATCAGACATGAAATATTAACAAGTTGTGGTTTGTGATTTGTTTGATTTATTTATTTATTTATTTAAAAAAACCCAATTGTAACTGTTATGTTCTCTGGTCTGTCTGCTACAGGTGTGAATACCAACGATGTGGGAAAATTTAGATATTCCTAGAGTGTGAAAACTTTAGACATCATGTTTCATACCTGATACTACCTTGCTTGCTTCCTCTTTTGAAAGCATCTGTTTTATTCCTCTTTTTATGGAACCATTGGTAGTGATTTGGTATTTCAGTGATTTGGTGGAGTTGGATTTTGTGCTTATCCTCTACAGTCCTCTAAGGAAGAGGCATACCATGTGTGGAACTAAAGGTGTGCTTTTTGAAAAGGCTCCTTTTTGTGTTTCTGTGGTCTTGGATCTGTGAACATATCAGGTTCTTGAGTTTACAGTATAACTGGGCACAGTAACTGTACTGCCACTGCTTTGAGATAGATGAAATAGGTTTGACAAAGTTAGCGCTGAATTTGGAAAGATTGTTACTGTGTATCATAGAATGAGGCTTTAATAGTTGCTGTAACTGCACAAATCTTTTGACAAAGCTAAAATAGAATAAAGCATCATTAATTATAGACTTTTAACTACTTAGGAACGGTATTAAAAATTTTTGCCTCGAAGTGAATGTCTGGAGTGTTTTACATGCTTTACGATAGTAAATTCTTTGGCCTTAAAAACAGAAGAAAAAAACCTGGGGATTATCATAGAGAGTTCATATAAAACAATTTTGTGTATAGTTTCAATGCCTCTTGTTAAATATTTTAGTATTGCTAGTGACCACATGACATATCACAAAGCAGGTAGTAATTTCAGCATTAAAAATTAACTGCTGCAGTAACAGCTGACTGTGTTTGACTTGGTGAGCTATGAGAGAATGTATTTAGTTACATTTCATAACTCTAACTTCTACGCTGTTAATTCCTTTTTTTTATTCTCTACATCTTTATGGAACCCTTTTCTGAGTAAAGAGGAACCTAGTGTTCTTATAGTGGTCCTAAAATGATATTAAGCATGAATGAGAGCCTCATTTCCAGGACTGCAAAACATAATCTTCCTTCCAGTGGAACATTTATATTTAAA